GGATTTTCGATGCAACAGAGTAAACGCTGTTTACAGTGTGTTGGAATCAACCTGTTGGCTTCATCCATCTCAAATTATCAGTGTGTGAGCACAGTACCTTTCTCAATTACATAGACTCAATGAGTTGTCCACGACAGACCACATAACCTACTCCTGGTTATCCAGCAATTCCTTACTAATCTTTCTCATTTCGAATATTACAAACTAACCAATCACTTGCACCACTGAAATATACACAGTTATGCTTAATTTATAAAGACAGTAATAAAATTGTGTCTTACTAATTGAAGCCGGGTTATGCTATTCATCTTCTTCTTCCGTATATTTATCTTCTCACTGCGAGGGCCATTTGATTTAAATCACTGTATACAGAAATCAACTTAACGTAACCGCCTAATGGAAAATTGGAATGTTGGCGGTGTTTCAACATCAGATCATTAACTGTCAGTATCTCTAATAAATAATACTGTTTCATTGTGTGAAACATCTAATAAACAAACTAATAATCTCACTTTTACGGTCTAAAAGTTTTATTCACTCACTGTGAGCCATGTAGATCTTAGTTCCTACACTACCGGATTCAGATGAGAAATTCTTCAGTATGAGATACATTCTTCTCTAACCTGATTTTGATAACCCTCAAATACCAAATTTCGTGACACATGCATACAAACTCACCTAATATTGGAAAAACCGAAAGGAAGGCATTCCTTCATCTTTCTAAAGATATACGAAACAGCCTATGTCTAAAGGGAACAAATGCTTTAAACAGTGCCATCTCAAGGCGTCTCCTTGTCACGAGTAATGATGTGGACGTGGGAAGATCTTTAAAAATTGCCGATAGGCAAAAGCGTTGGGTTCTCCTTAATTTTGCCCAAGCAGTCTCCATCACGCGCCTGATACCTGATTTATGCGTTCAGGCGGAAGTGGTTATCAGTCTTATCTTGCCTTATGTGGTAACGATATTTTCACCCTCTCTTTCATCTGATTGCGTAATGCCGAATGTTTCCAGTATCTTTGATGATTATTGTTCGGGATAACATGATTATTATTATATGTTATTGTTGTATACATATACTGATTAACTGATTTTTGTTTAAGAAGGAACTCTGTGCAAGTATGTTGAAATAGCTTCTGTAGATATACTTAACAACTACTTTAGACTGTAAGCAGCTTATGAGAAGCCAACGAAATGAATAATGATACCATTTTATTCTTCCAAAGCTGTTATTCATGTTTTATTCAAATATTTTCCTTCCTGAAGTCAGTACATGGCTTAACGTCTCGACTGCTGACTGAGACATGACTCTTCACACCGTCAGTTAAATTCAGTTCCTCAAAAAACGATCATTTTGTCCAACACTGTAATCAATCTAATTTCATCTCACCCCACTTAAGTATTTCTCTCAGAATAAATTAAGTGTTCGGAAATCAAGTAACTGTGAACACACAATCCATAGTTACCACAACAGAAATAGACACAATAATTTCTACGTTTCATTTCAATTGTGAAATATTCATCAGCGATACACCAAGTCGTTTGACACATGAAGAAATTTGAAACTGAAAGATGTTGAATTAGTGAGACGTGACTTGCAACTGGTTTCATTGAAAAACAGAGAAACAGGCTAAACAAATATAACAGTAGCTGAATACTGGTTTCTCTGCTCACATTATAATACCTGGAGGTGAACGATTCTGACTCAAGAAATGAGGAATAGAGACTTGAAAGTCTATCCAACGTACTCATGCAGCAGAAAAAACGACAAATAATTCTGAATGAAAATACAGTGCCATCAAAATACTGAATACTCCACAAAAACTGAACATTTCTCATGGGTTCATCGATTATACATCATTAGATTTGGCTATCTTATATTTTGTAGAAAACAGATATTCAGATACGCATTGTTGACTTCATCATCTGAATGATTCTATGAGATAGTGGAACTTGAATAGACAGTATTTGTTCTTATTATCACGCCACGCACATTTTATCTATGGGTCATGTCATACACCCACACACATATAAAACACACGATCAGATATAGATGAAACCTCCATTTTGAGATAATGGAATTCGCTGAGCGTATCAGTAACTAATTCTACACTGATACGTAGCAGGTAATCAATTAGCGGGGAATCTGTCCTGGCTTCTAAATAAATTTCTGAGAGAATGTTCATCTAAGTAAAGCATAGTGGTGTCATGCCATATAGACTATATCTGAAATTGCGTGACTTGTCTTTCACTCCGACCTTTTGTTCATCGATGAAATTTTGATAAAATGAGTTGAAATAAAAACAAGAATAATGTAGGTGAAAATGTATTCGTGTGCGAATGTCCGCTCTGGTGTGTTCAACATCGTGTGTATGATCTCGTGTTTTGTTTGATTTCACGCTGGTTTGTTTGGTTCATTGATGTGATTTTCAGTAGTATGTGGTTTGATTAGTAGTCCGACTGATGTGAAATTGACCTGAACTAGTCTACGCATGTGTTTAACGATGTGTTTGAGAGATGTTCTCAGCGGTTGACAGACTCTACTTGAATGTTGGTTTCCAATCATTGAACTAGAAACCACAGCAAGCCACATAGTCAGATTATTCTCCGACATAGTGGGAATTATTGTGTATCACTGTGTGAAGTAATTGTGGAAATCCCCATTGTGTGACTGTGTTTGAGACTGCCATCATGAAGTGGATGATGGAGATAAGTCAGTAGTTGTCGTTATTGAATGAGAGAACGACTTCATTGTAAACTTACATTTCGCCTCACTAGTCTTGTCTTCCAGTCTTTAATGAAGTGTTAATCTTTGTAACTGGACGGAAGCTAATCTTTTCTGATACTCGCTTGCGAGGTTTCGTCACAGACTTCATTGCCTTGCAGTGCTGTTGATAGTCTACACTTTACGAGAACTTGCTGAACCTAATTTGCCTTGTTTTCCAATAAATCAGTATTCTTCCTGGCCTGTTAGTACTTAAGACGACACTAGATTGGAAAGACTCTGTCAGTTGGATATGTGCTCGCGTTAGCAGTCAGTTTGTTTTATTTAAAAGGACAAGTTTGTGCTGGGTAAAAGATGTAAATAGATGTAAACGACAGATGATATCTCATAAATGTGATGTGTTTGCGCAATACACTTCGAAAAATCTGGTCACTCATAGTCTTACTTCTCAAGTCAATCTATATGAAAAATAAGGGCCTTTTATGATGCACAAGGTGACACAGATCATTTAAGAATAATGAAGATAATTAATGCTACGTTTGGTTGTGTATTCAGATAACGACAACCAGAGTAGGTGAGGAGTCATAATAAATTGTTGCTGTACACACGTAGTGTTAGTTGTGTCTATTACTACGAAATCGTTTTTGTCACTTTGTATATTTCAAACGCAATTTATTTTTCACAGAGACTGACCTGACAAGTAAGAGTATGAGTGACTAGATTGTTCGAAACGGATTGCTCAAGGACACCACATTTATGAGATATTCTCTGTCGTCTAATAAAACTTTCCGAATTTATAAAAGAGACTAATTTGTTTCAAAGGGATTCAGAGGTTGTTTAGCGAATATGATTGTTGAGAGTAAAACGGGAAAGCACGAAAAATTGACTTTGGAGTCACTCCAAATATATAGACGTTCAAAGAAAGTTACAAAATATTGAAAATCACTCTGCAAACTGATCGTGTTATGTTTTCTTTCTTTATAATCTATGTAAACTCTAGGGTAGTTAGTAAAACGATGAGGAATATAGGAGAATAGTGGGTAATGTGGTTAAGGTTTCGGTTACAACCCAGCTTGAATCGATGCACCATTTATATGCTGTGGATGAACTAGTTTTACGGTCCACATAAATCAGGGTTATTCATAAGAATTTTTAGCCACCTGTAGTTCAAATGAATCAAATCATCATATTTTACGGGGGTGACTTATGTGATGGTATTGATAAGATTGAAAGAGTTTTGTTTCGAGACCGACTGAATAATACCGACAATGTCATTAATTATCGCTTTCGAATTGAGGCACTTTCACCTTTATGTAGCCTTGTATGATGTGACGTCGCTTCAGTCTTTTATTAAGTAGAATCAGCAAGTGTGAAAAATAATCTAATCAATCTGAATGTGGACAGTTAACAATACACAGTAGAAATATAGTCAAGAGGATTTATTGCGGCGATTTCAGAGTGTTTATGGTCAGGTGAGTGTGTGTAACTGGTGCTGTGGAACCCGAAGGTCCGGTTTCAGGCGTTTAATAGTCAGTAATTCAGGTAAGTATAAATGAGGTATTTAAAGCTATATTCGGAATATGTGTGTGTTAATCTGAAGCAACCATATAAGACTTACGGATATTAAGAGGTGGGGATAAGCTGGAGTATAGCTTCATTGATATCGTCCCCCTCTCCTCTGGATATCCACGCCAAGCAAAGTTCCAAAATACGCACACGGCTCCAACCATATTCACGGCCGATATCCTCTGAGCAAAATCATAGCCTCTGCATCACTCCACTAAGCCTCATTTCCGATAACAAGAAATAATGCATTAATTCGATCAGGGATTATGCCCATCTCAGCCAGAATTCGGTGTGGAAAATAAGAGACACCACTGACCAATGGAGAGATGTCAAGTATCTCAATGCAAATATTATTTTTGTGTATTTAGTCATTTATCTCCTCCAGATATTTCAGAATTCACAACTCTCCTTTAAATTTCTTTCGAAAGGAATGCATATTCCAGAGATGATAATTCGTAATTTCGAACCATTTTCAGTTTGTATTCTAGAGATTTGTCAGCCAATGATGTTGGACACAAACACGATTCGTCTAAATTTCGATTGTCTGAGAATTGATGTGTGCACTCACCTTTACCGCATTCATCCAATCAACCTGCACAAACGAAAAAACACACACTGATCTCACAATAATACCAATCAGTCTGTCATTCCACACACTTCCAACAACTATATATACAGCATCCATTCTGTAATTAAATCCACAGTAAAAACATGCACGTCCAGTATTTCTTCCTCCTAAGCATTGTCCTCGCGTTGTGTTGTGTAGAAGGTAGGTGTGAATGCTCTGTGTTCATTCCGTGTATGTGAGTCATCGTCAGTGTTTCATATTTCGGGTTTGTTAATGATGTTGTGCCACAAAACTGATTTGAGCAACACATTGATGATATTTTCACTACACAATTAATCAGATTGATCATTCATCTTGAACGATGATGATAATTATTATTCGTCCTTGATCAAGTGATACGTTCATCTGTTAGTCAGATATCGATTGCTTCGTAGATATTTCTACCGACTGAGTGGGACAGCGCCCCTCTGTTGAATATTCATATCCATAAATTATGGTGTGTCGAAGTGTTACTATTTGTCACCAGTTATCTCATATGTTTTCATCCCCGACCTATTCTTTCTTATAGGTATTGAAGTGACCAACTCTACAATTCGTCTCGTGAGTTCAATTATTATGTATTCTCTTTCATCATTTCCACAGCACTAGTGATCTGAAACCGCAACATTTGGTTATAATCCTCATCTGGACAATTTACACTTTGTGTTCACTTTTTGATGTGTTGTCGATTTTCTCTTTCAGCCTGACGACACAGAACTTGTCTACGTGTTAATCCGTAGTAGATGTTATGGGTGTTTATGTGTAAGTTTCCTCAGTATTATCAATTCGTTTTGCATTTATTAACATGGGAAATGATGAGATGTCGAAAATGTAGGCGGGTTCAATAAATCCTGATTCAGCAGTGTTCGAGGCACTAGTATCGAGAAATAGTTGAGTGTGTATGAAAAAGGAAACTATAACTTTATCTCCAGTGAATCATCAATCAAAAGACTCACCGAAATAGACAAATTTTATCAACCGATAAAAAAGGAACCTGACACACAAAGGGTCAAAGAAACAATCAGTTCCAATACAAGTAGCCTAGAGGGTGTGAAAATACACAAAAACAACCAATCACGTCAAAGGTCACCCACCAGGAGAGATGATTAATAAACTCGTGGAGAAATCTAAAAGCTCACTTCAGCGAATTGAAGTATGCGCTGAAGATGTTGCATAGAAGGGCGATGAAAGCTTCGCAAATTAACTACCCAGCTCAGACAATACAGCCACATCAAAATCATCCACCTGAGCTACAAATCTTCTCTATCATATGGGAAACTATAACTGTATGGATTGATGTTGGTGAATAAGAGGAGTCCAGTAATTGCGTGAAGCTGCAATCCAAAACTTGGTATTGTGCTACTGCAACACATACCAATCAGAAATGCTCTGAGATACACAGATTTCTACATTGACAACATCTGATTCACATTTCGAAGTCATCAATCATCCTCCCAGTGACTGAATGGTAGTCTTTCATTTACAAACGATGTCACATTCACTAAAATCCATATTGTCAGTATTATATAGTTATGAGAAGTGATCAATTCATCAGTTAGCTTATTCTTCGTTTTCGCTCAATAACGCTTTAACTCTTTCTCACTTCACATTTTAGTGGACAGATCTCATTTCAGAGGTAAGAGACGTCAATAATATTTAACCTACGTGAAAATCATCATTCGATTTCATTTCATGAAAACCTTAGTATTATGTGGGTGTCATCGACTTTGAGTATGTTAAACAGTAGGATTAAATCAATGATCAACTCAACTAGAGAATGAACACATAAGTGAACTGGCAACATAGGCCTCGTATGAGAGAGTGAACTAGGCACATGTTCACATATGGAACACAGTATCTTGTATGCACACAAAAATCAATGAAAAATATGCGGATTTCCGGAAGATTATAGAGACCGTCTTCCACAAGACGGTGTGCGAATCGGTCAACACAATGACAGAATCCCGCGATTGTTTGTTATTTACATACCATGTGCATCAGGTATTGAATGTCGATCAGTGATACTCAACAGGATGTTTCCTAGACAATTTATCTTTAGAGTGACATACGAGGTGTCGAGTATTAGTTGATTCATAGAAGTTAAAGCTAATATTTGTATTGTGAAAATGTGATGTCCGATCATAATTATTTAGTGACAAATCAGAATTGATATGGTACTATTGATGGGATTTGGGATTGTACTCATGACCAGTGAACCCTATTCGACAGAGAATTCTGCTAACTCTGAATCCCAATAATTTCTCGTGTCTATTTATTTGTCTTTTCATTCACAGTTGAGCGATGATTTTGTTGGACATGTAAATGGAACTGATATCTGTCCCATGTGTTTATGCGTAAGTCAACGCTGTTAAACAACCGAATGATTTCAATTCTCTTTTGTCATTTTTAAGATGAAGCATACTAGAAAATAAGCACCAGTTGATATATCACTCAGAGAACTGATACAAACCAACAAGTTGTCATCACCTGGAAAGGCTTCGAAAAATAATCCTAAATACACAGTGAACATTTTCATCAGAAATCTCAATTAGTATTATAGCCTTGATCATCACGAAACACTATCAGTAATGACATGTTACTCATGTTCCAGTTAGTTCAGAGAATCGCCGAAATGATGTGATCAGTAGTGTATGCAGGATAATTAGAAGTCAATTTTATTCTTATCTATTTCAATTTCCACCATTTCTTCAAATCCACTCACACTAATTCCTTCGTGTTTTTCATTCCAGAAATAATTTCCAGCTGTAAGATCCAATGAAGGTGATCAGTGTCGGCCATGATTGCTATGCAGTTTGTAGCTCGTTAGTTTAATCAATAAATCGTCTATTCGCAACTGTCCAATTGTTTTGATTTCTCTTGACGACACACCAATTCACTTGTGAGGAAAGAAGTATATCACTACATTCCTTATACAGAATGCGATCTAACGTAGACTAGTGATACCGTATCACTTTACAATCAACTAGTAAATACATTTTTCAGACGGAATCAAGTCATTAAACCACGTCAAAATAAACCTCTAAAGTTGTGCTTCTTGCAACATAGAAGCCACTGTACAACACCGAAAACTGACTGACTCTTTCTTGGAGTGTTAGACTGAATAAGTAATCAGCTATAAAAAAGTAGGAATTCAGATATTGGTATTCTGTAAACGCTGATTTCAGCAGTCAAAAAGGAGGCTGCAGATGAACCGAATGATTTAATCCTTATTTTTCGGAGATGCTTATATCGCCAGGATTGTCAGTAAACAGAAGACAAGCCAAACTATAGAGCAAGTTTTCCAAAACGATTATAAGCAGTCATTGAAAATGATTTGCGCGTCACAGGATATATGAAATAATGAGGATATGAATGAAGACGACGAATTTATTGCGTAAATATTATTGATGATCCGAAAACTTATGTAAACTAAAATATCAGATTGTTAAGATACTCCTCAAAAGTTCATTATACATTATAAGTATTCACTAGATTAGACTTTCTAGAAAAATAACTACTCAAATATGCATTGTTCACGTCATCATCTGAATGATTCTATGAGGTTGTGGAATTTGAGTAGACCGCTTTCATTCTCATTATCATGCCAGACAATTTCATATTCAGATCATTTCACACCTACACACACACACACACACCTACACACAATATACACTCAGAAATAATTACAACTTCCATTTTGAGATAATGAAATTCGTTGAGCGTGTCAGTGTCTGATTCTACAGTGATGTGATATCGTAGCGGGTAACTAATTAGCCAGGAATCTGTCCTGGCTTCTCAATCAATTTCTGAGAGAATGTTCATCTAAGTAAAGCATAGTGTTGTCATGCCATAAAGACTACATCTGAAATTGCGTGATTTCTCTTTCACTCCGACCTTTTGTTCATCGATGAAATTTTGATAAAATGAGGTGAAATTAACACAAGAATAATGTAGGCGAGAATGAGTGCGTGTGCGTGTGAGTGCGTAAGTATGTGTTCACCATCGTGTGCTTGATGTGGTGTTCTCAGTAGTATATATTCTGATCAGCAGTGTTTCGCATCTTCCTTAGTCAAATTATGCATCTTCAATATTGTAAACGCTCAAAAGGCGTAGCCTGGTCTGTATTGGCAGATATTTCACCATACTTACTTGCTGTGTTTCGATTGAAGTATGCGCTGAAGATGTCACCCAGTAGGGTGATGAAAGCTTCGCAAACTAACCATCCAGCTCAGAGAACAAAACCACATCAAAAGATATATTGTGTGAATGACAACTGATCAAGTCTTAATCCCCTTTCTGTGAGTCACAACGATTCACTTCCATATATTACGATGTAGGGAGGAATACAAGTGGCAAGGTAGTGTCACGACCTTTTAGCTTGTTTCACTTATTTTCAATGAAACCAGCCACAAGTCAATTCTCACTAATTCAATATCTTTCAGTTTCATGTCTATCCACGTATCATGCGAATTGAAATGAAACGTAGTTGTGATAACTATGAATTTTGTGTCCAAAATTACTTGATGTCCGAACACTTGATTTATTCTGAGAGAATCACTTAATTGAGGTGAGGTGAAATTACTTTCATTACAGTGTAGGACAAAATGATCATTTTATAAGGAATCCAGTTCAAATGACTGTGTGAAGGATCATGTTTCAGTCAGCAGGCGAGACGTTAAGCCATGTACTCACATAATCAAAGAAAATATTGGACAAATTTCTATGCATGTGTCACGAAATTTCATATTCGAGAGCTATCAAAATCATCTCATCTGAATCCGGTAGTGTAGGAACTAAGATCTACATGGCTCACAGTGAATGAGTAAACGATTTAGACGTTAAAACTCGAGATACTGACAGTTAATGATCTGATGTTGAAACACCGCCAACATTCCAATTTTCCATTAGGCGGTTACGTTAAGTTGATTTCTGTATACAGTGATTTAAATCAAATGACCCTCGCAGTGAGAAGATAAACATAGGGCAGAAGAAGATGAATAGCATAACCCGGCTTCAATTAGTAAGACACAATTTTATTACTGTCTTTATAAATTAAGCATAACTGTGTATATTTCAGTGGTGCAAGTGATTGGTTAGTTTGTAATATTCGAAATGAGAGAGATTAGTAAGGAATTGCTGGATAACCCTGAGTAGGTTATGTAGTCTGTCGTGGACAACTCATTGAGTCTATGTAATTGAAAAAGGTACTGTGCTCACACACTGATAATTTGAGATGGATGAAGCCAACAGGTTGATTCCAACACACTGTAAACAGCGTTTACTCTGTTGCATCGAAAATCCTCTGATTCATCACCTTAACAGATATACACATTTTCAAGAGTTAGCTTTTAAGGATTTGATTCATTTCAAATTCCATCACGAGTTGAAATCAATTAGAGAACTATTAGGTAATCCGGGAGTATTGTACAGCCGTTTTGCTCCCGTTTGGAACACTTCAGCACTGAGAACCCACTAGCATTCGAACCGAGGACCCTCCAGTTACCAGGCAACCACGTAGACAATTCACCCACTGAAAATCAAATCACATCAATATAACAAACAAAACCAATGTGATTTGGCTCTGGTTAGGGAACAATTCGATTAAAGTGGTTATGGTTGCAGTTGCCGTTTCTATTGTGTCACTATAACTGTAACAACAGAAGACAAAGGCCAGGCAACAGATCGTTTTATTACGAAAATCAACACGTATTTATGTAAATTTCACATACATTTTTATAGCCTAGTCAAGTAGACAAACGCAGTCTTCATGTTTGGCTGTTTTCGAGTTCATCGGAAAGTGGAGCCATCTATCTGCGAATCATATTTGCCCACGTTTAAGTTTGCTGTGACTGGTTGTTGAAATAGCCTTGTTCATATTTTCTCACGGCCCATATTAGTGAACTAGAACCGCGCGCTTTTCCACTACTGCGATACATTTCCCTAATTTTTATAAAAACTCTCGTTTCTGTAAAATTTCATGCCAAGGGATTGTGGAGACTATTACAATTATTTACCTTTCGAACACTAAATCCGAGGATAAAATCTTATTGACAGGTAATACCTATAACTAACTATTTCGATTTGTGAAATTTTTAAACATAAACACATCTATAATTGTATATATTGGTGGATTTACATGTTCAAGTTGTTCCAAGACAGTGAGATTTATGGTTGAGATATCATTTTAGTTAACTGTGCTGAACTATATTGCATGTTGTTGCATTGTATCGTTGTTGTCGCTTTTTGCCCTTTTTGCTGTGAACTGTTTTCCTTTTGCTGGTGTTGTTCTGATTGTTTTGTCCGTTATTTTCCGATTTTGAGGTGGGCAACCCAAAAAGTCGCTTCTCTCTAAACTTTATCTTAATGTAACCATTCCTTTCTCAGGCATGAGGCTAGCAACCCCACCCTGTAAAAAAAATTGCTACAGAAACTTCAGCACAATGAACCTCTTTGCACCAAAAGAAAAAGTCTGTGTGGGGACATGGAACGTCCGAACTATGTACGAGACGGGAAAGCTGCCCAGATCGCCAACGAGATGAAAAGATACGGAATCCAAGTATTGGGAATATGTGAAAGCAGATGGAATGGGAGTGGACTCACCAAATTGTCAACGGGTGAGTCAGTGATCTACTCCGG